CGCTCGAGACATCCTGTCAACATCCTCATGATAGACATCCGCCTGACCGACCTGGACACGTGAAAACAAACGATTCGCACAACACATCCTCAACACATTCTCATGCTAGACATCCGCCTGGGTGACCTGGGCGCGTGAAAACAAGCGTTTCGCTCGAGATGTTTTCAACACCTCCTCATTCTAGACATCCGCTTGGGCGACCTGTACACGTGAAAGCAAACGTCTCGCTCGAGACATCCTCAACACATCTTCATTTTAGACATCTGCCTGGGCGACCTGGACACGTGAAAACAAGCGTATCTCTCGAGACATTCTCAACACATCCTCATGCTAGGCATCCGCCTGGGCAACCTGGACACGTCCAAACAAGCATCTCGATCGAGAATTCCTCAACACATCCTCATGCTAGACATCCGCCTGGGCGACGAGGACGCGTGAAACCAAGCGTCTCGCTCGAGACATCCTCAACACATCCTGGGGCTAGACCTCTGCCTGGGCAACCTGGAGGCGTGAAACCAAGCGTCTCGCTCGAGACATCCTCAAGACCTGGGAAGGTGAAAACAAGCATTTCACTTGATAGATCCTCTGAGTTTTGGTCCCCAGGAGAGGACAAGTTATAACACAAAACATGCGTTTCACTCGAGACAGTCTCAACAGATTCTGAACAATAAACGTTTCGCTCGAGACATCCTCAAAAACAAGTCCGCAAGTCTCCTTCAAACTCGTCATTTACGCAGAATAATTTCACCGGCCCCCTTCAAGTCGAAACCGGGGGGTAAACCAGCTAAAAGAGAACCCTGGGCCACAGCCCTTTCCGGGAAAAATCAATGATGTTCCTAACGTTGTCGAAGGTTTTCGCCCTTCTCGCCTTTTCGGCTTTCCGACGCTCCGAGACGGACAAAGAGGTTCCCGAGTTCGCCCCACGACGGCCCTAGAAGCCTCCATGACGGCCCAAGAGGCCCCCAAGACGGCCCCAAGACGGCCGAAGAGGGACAGGCGCCCCAGACGGCCCAAGAGGGCCCTAAGACGGTCCCAAGAGAGGCCCAAGAGGGAGTCCACGAACCGAAAACTCTACCTTTCCGCCTCGAGAGTGCCCCAGGAGGCCCCAAGAAGGTCCCCAGAGGCCCCAAGAAGGTCCCCAAGAGGCCCCCAAGAGGCCCCAAGGAGACCCCCAAGAGACCCCCGAGAGGCCCCCAAGAGGCCCCAATGAGACCCACAAGAGGCCTCAAGGAGACCCCCGCGCAGCCGCCCAGAATAGTAATAAAGGGGCCGGCGGCAGAGGGCGTCCGGCCGCTCCCGCCCTGCGGGCTGGGCCGTGCGAGACCACTCTGTCAGCGTGCCTGGCAGGATTCGCCAGGTTCTGGTCAAAATCTCCAGAACTCCCTCCCAGAGGCCCAACCTCTGTCGGCGGTCCCTCACAGACCCTCCCCCGCTCAACGACTTAAGGGCCCCAAGACGACCCAACCAACGCCCGGGGGCGACCCGCGAGCGCCCAAGGCGGCCCAAGAGAGCCCCACGACGGCCCTAGAGAGCATCCAGACGGCTCCAGATCGTTCCAGGCCGCTCCAGATGGCCTCCAGACGTCCCAAGACGCCCCTGAGATGCCCCAAGAGGCCTCCAAGATGCGCCCCAAGAGGGTCCCCAGACGCAGAAATTGCCCCGCTTCCTTCGTAAAACATACGTTTTTCACAACTTCACTGTTTAGGATTTCCGAAGCTCCAAGACGGCCCAAGAGGCCTCCAAGACCGCCCCAAGACAGCCCAAGAAGCCTCCAAGAGGGCCCCAAGACAGCCCAAGAGAGCCCCAAGACGGCCCACGAGGCGCCCAAGACGGCCCAAGAGGGCCCCAAGAAGAGCCCAAGAGGGGGCCCGGAGGGGGGCCACGAAGGGAAAGCTCGAGCCTTCCGCTCCAAGGACCGCCAGGAGGCCCCAAGAGGCCCCCAGGAGGCCTCAAGGAGCTCCCAGGAAGCCCCCCAAGAGGCCCCAGGAGACCTCTCAGAGACCCTCAGAGGGCGTCAAGAGCCCTACAAAGAAAGCCCCAACAAGCACAAATCGTCCCGCTCCCTTGAGGAAATGTACAAGTTTAGCATATCAGACTTGTGGCCCTCAGAGCGTCCACGGCGGCCCTAGAGGCCCCCGCGGTCACTCCAAGATGACCCCGAAAGCCCCGCAGAGAGCCCAACTACAGCCCACGGGCACCCCAAGACGACCCAAGAGAAGCCCAACACGGCCAAGAGTGCCACAAGGGAGCCCCAAGAGGCGGAAATCGAAAGGACACTTCGAGCTTGCCGGCACAACGAGACCTCCGACCCCGCCAGCAGGCTCCCAAGAAACATTCGATGAGCCCCAAGAAGCCCCCAATAAGCCCAAAAGAGACCCAAAAGAAGCCCCAAGAGGCCCCCTGACGGTCGGCCCCTAAGAGGAGCCGAAGAGGCTTCAAAACTGCCTCCAAGAGGCTCCCGAGACGCTGCGTCAAACTCCCAGGGAGCGGTCAGTGATGCGCCGCTGGCGTTCTCGAAAATAATAAGAATGATAATACTATTAGAAGAATGTAAGCATAACCAACAAATGAGAATAATCAGACTTGAAACATATTAATGATACTAATCATCATCAGCAGCATCAGCAGCAGCAGCATCATCAACATCATCATCATCAGCAGCAGCATCATCATAATCATAAGCATCATCATCATAATCATCATCATCATCATCAGCATCAGCATGAGCATCAGCATCATCATCATCATCAGCATCATCATCATCAGTATAATCAGCATCATCATCCTCATCATCATCACCAGCATCATCATAATGATCATTCATATCACCATCGTCATCATCACAATCATCAGCATCATCGTCATCAACATCAGCATCACCCTCATCACCCTCATCACCACTATCATCATTATCACAATCATCATCATAAGCATAAGTCATCAGCATCAGCATCAGTATCACTATCATCATGTGATCCATATCTATTTTCCAAGAAAATAAACAACATACGATACCCCGAGATGTATCGCAAATAATTCCGCCAGCGGCCGCGCAGGACGCGTCATCCTCCAGCGGGCACGCGAAACAACGATTGATTTTCTAACGAATTTCAAAACCTCCAATCCTCGTGGTCTATCGCGGATTCTGCGCAACACGCTCACCACCGTGCTTTTCACTGGGGAAACGTGTGTCTGCGGGCTCCGTTATTCATTGATGATCTGAGATAGGGAACACACTTTCCTCGAGCGGGTACGCGCGAAACGCATTTCACCCCATTAACAAGATACTGTACCCCGATATCTATCGCCAAAAATCCACTGGCCCCCTTCAGGTCAGTCGATTCCGAGGGTAAGCAGCTAAAGAGAAGGACCCTAGGCCCAAGCCCTTTCCAGGAAAAAATGTTGTTAGCCAGAGCGAGAACGATGTCATGATAAGATTGGCTTCGGATACGGGCCAAAATTTTTAGAAACTCTGGCGGCTCAGCCGGTACGGAAAATTAGGAAGTATAGGAAAGTCTGGAAACCTTGGAGGGCCTGAAGCGTATCATTATCATGCCGTCTTGCCTCTCTGAAATAGCGCCTACGTGTGCTTGTAAACCGAGGCCCTTCAATACGAAGCAGGCGGCGCAACGAGGGCAGACGCAGGCTGCGCGCTATCGGCGGAGCCGAGCAAAGTAAACACACGCGGGGGCTAACACACGCCCTGAGGATCATCAAGAAGGCCCCGGCGAAACCCGCGAGCTGTATTAGCGCGGTCATGGCGGCGGGGGCCCCGAAGGCGAGCAGCTGCGACATGCTGGCAGGGGTTGCCAGGGCGCGGGGACAAAGGGGGAGGGGAGGGAAGGGACAAGGAGAAGCGACACCACCACGAACAGGGACCAACAGCGGGTGGAGCCAGGGGGGACACCCTTGTGGTGTGGTCCCCCCCTCGCTCGAGCCATACCCTATCCTCCGCTCTGGGAGGCATTGTGGAGCTCCTCGGCGTAAGTAGCCCCCTGGTGGTGGTGGTGTCGCTTCTCCTTCCGCCGAGGGGGGAGGCAGAGGGCGAGGGGCAAAGAATCGGGCCCCTCGTGCCAAAAAGGCGCCGATCAAGGCGCCGAGAAAGCAGCTCGATCAAGGCGCCCCTGAGCCGAGCCAGCCGGCGTGTGGGCATGCGAACGTGCAAGCATGCGCACAGGCGTGCACGCAAGCGTGCAAGCAGACTCTCACGCAAACAAGAAAGCACGCGAGCATGCGGGAACGTTCTGCGTGCAAGCATGCTGGTGTGCGTGCATGTGAGCATGCATCAAAGATCACGCACGCAATCAGGGGTGGACTGCAAATGCGCAAGCGCGGGCTACATGGATTGCAAGCGCACAGGCAATCAAGCATTCAAATATGCACGCAGAGAAATGCGCAATAATGGAAGCATGCACGCATGCAAGTAGGCAAGTCCACAATTGGAAGAGGGTACAGGCACAGGCGTGCGCGTATGCCAGCAAGCCAGCGTACAGGCATGCAGGCACGCACGCAAGCAGCATGCGAGCATGCGACCTCCTCCTGCCCCCCTCCTCTTGGAGCAGCGGGGCGAGGATGAGGCCGCCGCCCGAACATCATCGTCAGCGTCAGCGCCCGAGATGCCACGGTCGGCAGCGTCAACGTCGGTATCCGAGGCGCAAGCGTTCCCTCGGCGTCGACGCCATCGTCCCAAGACCTCCAGAGACTCGACGTGCTCGAGTCAACCGCCCCCAGTCCTCTCGACTCTCTCTCGAGAGGCCGCCGTTTTCACCTGATAAGCAATACACGTACCCCGAATTATGTGGGAGAGGACCTAAGTTAGGAGGGCTAGACAGATGAGGGATAGGGGGTGATGTTTGCGGACGTGTCAAACGAACTCACCCGAATGTTTAGGGGTATCCCTCAAAACCGTGGACCGAAGTTAGGCCACGAAATCATGGTGTTATTAGGCTCAGGGGGTGTACTATACTCACTGATTATCCATGAGCCTCTGTCTCACGGTCCCCAGGTCGCGGAAGCGCCCTCAGGTCGCCGATGGTGGCGGACAAGAGCTGGAGGTCTGGGCCTGCGCGCGAGGCGCAGGGCGTTCTCCTCGCCGATGCGCCCACTCTCAGCGTCTGAGGCGCAAGGTTTCCCTCGGCAGCGGGAGAGCGCCAGCCACGGTCGGACGGCACGCAACGCACAACCCCGGCGCGGGGAGCTCCGAATGGTCGGCCAGACTGGGCTTCAAAGGGTCGACCCTGTGCTGTCTGGCAGCCAGCCCGAGCCCCACGCGCAGTGGTCGCAGGCGCCCTTTCGCACAAATGGGGCCCGCAAACCCCCTCACCCGAATGGAAGAAGGGACGAGGGTGCACCCAGAGGTCTCTGCTGGAGGTCCCTGGAGGCTTCCAGAGACCTCGCAGCGCCCAAATAGAGACCCAAACGTTCAAAACTCTGGAACCTCTGACCTGCGACCTCGTGCGAATCCTACCCGCTCGGGACCTATCCACGCTCGGGTATCGGACACCCCTGCAGGGGATCACTTGGCTGCAAACATCCTCCACATTCCGAACCACAACCAACGTTTCAGAAAACTGACCCGCAGGGGTAGGGTTCACACGTGACCGCCTCCCAGAGGAGACGGGAGCGGAGAGGGGGAGCTCCCTGGGTGCTGTCCGACGGGAGGCGGCGACGCGCTCCTAGTGCCTCCTCCTAAATGTGCCCACTGCCCTGAACTGCTCTGTACAAGTCAGAAGGGCTACCCCCTCTGCGGCGACGCAAGAGGGGGGCTCGGCTCCGATCGGCTCCGACCCTGGAGGACCAGAGGACGGCATGAGCAAGAACCTTCCGGGATCTGCGCAGAGTTCTCGGGTCGGCGCTGGACTCCCGTCTCCACACCCCCTTCCCGATCGCTCGGAGCGCTGCGGGGATGGCGCCAGAGGCGCCGCCACGGGTACGGGGCGGAGGCCCCAGCGCCGACACCAGACATCCGCACGGAGCTCTGGAAATCGATGCTTGCGTCGCCATTTGTTCCTCCGAATCCGAACTACCGTGGTCCTGCGCTCTGGGAGTACATCGATGAGTCCCACGTCGTGCGGACAGGGAATGGGAGGCCGACCTGTGATCTCGGCTGCAGACAAGAGTGGCCGCAGGCAAGAAGAGCGCGAGCCTTGGTGCGACCCCTGCCGATCGCAGCGTCCTGCGTGCTTCGTTCTGCTCCCTTCCCCCGCGTACCCTGAGAGCCGCAAACCAAATGTCACCCTGGCGAAGGGTCACTCCTACGTGCAGCCGATGATCGCCATCGAGCTATGGCGGGCCCGATCCCGACTCGAACGCTGCTGGGCATCGGCTCCCTTTCTGGCCTGGGGCAGGGGAGGGCCCAAGCGAGTGGACACTAGAACCAAAACCTACATACACATGATTTCTCGGAGGTCCGCGCGAATTTCTTGTATCGGCGCTGACCCCTCTCCCCGGCGCGCTGATCGCACCATGGGCGTCACCGGAGGCGCCGTCAGGGGGGTCAAATGCCGATCCAAGGAATTCGCGCGGACCTCAAAGGAGTAACGCACAGTCAACGCGTACAATCAGGACGGACGATAAGGATGCAAGGGCCTTGCAAGGCAATGTCGCTACTTTTCGAACGGGGCGCGGCCAGCGAAAGTGGCTAAGGATGGGCCGAAGTGGAAGGATGCAAGGGTATCCTTGGAAAGTCGTTCATTCTTAGATCAAGTACAGAATTGATTATTCCCCAAGTTGAAGTCTTCGTCGAATCTACGGGAAACGTCGAATTTCCGTGGAACTGCGAACACGCTACATGTCTGTTGTAGGCTCGACGAACGCAACAAGCTAGGGATCAATGAATTATGTAGTCGATCTCCTACTCGAATGATTATCCCTCTGTTCCTTCTTTAAAAGATCTGGGCCCCGAGCTGGGCGCCAAGCCAGGGGGTAGCAAAGGGGGGGCCAAGGAATCACCCGCATGCGGCAGGCGCCCCCGGAAAGCCCCGCGGGCCAGAGGTGCGCATACATCGAGGGAAGCGCCCGGCGGCGAGGCCGACACCAGCCGAATGCAGCAGTTCCAGTTTCTGTAACCCATCCGTTCTCCCCACCCCCTCGTAAGCCCCGAAACCTGGAGGGGAAAGACAGGGGGGGACCGACTCGCCAGGGGAAACATCGGCCTTGAACTGGCGATACGTCGCCAATAGGTCGGCGAGAGGTCCCCGATAGCGAATCCGCACGATACTGAGCGTGGCGGGCTATCGGGCCCCCATCGGCGATGAATGGGCAAATTGGGGGTTGATGCACCCCTCCGCCTGACACTATCTCGCCCTAGCGTTGCCGATGAAGTCCGTGCCAGGGGCGCGGTGCTGAGCACTTGAGCTGGTCGGCTTCCCTCCCCCTGACAAGGACACACCGCGCAGGCGATTCGTGCTCCACAGCACTGGCGAACGAGGGAGGTAAGGAGCACACGTAGGTCGGAAGAAGCATGTGCAAACATGCCGTGGGAGGGCGTGAGGTAGAGCGGGTTCCGGCCCGCCCACGAGAAGTTGAGAAGTCGGGGGCTGGAATCTAAACATCGCCTGCGAAGGGAGAGGCAGGAGGGAAGGGGAGGAGAACAGAGGGCGAAGAGAGGCGGGGAACGAGGGGCGAGGAGAGGGCGCAAGAAGGGCGAAGAGAGGCGGGGACCAGAGGGCCAAGAGAGGAGATGGACGACAGGCGAAGAGGAGGGAGGTGAAGAGCGAAGAGAGGAGGGGGCCCGAGGGCGAAGAGAGCAGGATAGAGAAGTTCCAAGAGTGGAGGGCAACGAAGGGCGAAGATGGGGGCGAACGAAGAGCGAAGAGGACGGATGTGCGGTGAGGGGGGGCGAAAAGGACGAAGACGGACCGAGGGGGCATCGGGAGGGAAAGGAAGGGCGAGGATACCCGAGGGGGGATCGAAATCGAGAGCGGTTGGAGAGGCGCTTGGGTCCAGTGCCCCGAGACGAGCCGGCGACGAAGGCTGAGACAGGCGGGGCCGAGTCCAGACTCGGAGAAGAGGGCGAGCAGATGTTGTGGGCCCCAATAATGTGTACGCCACCGTCGCCTCCATTACCATCCTGCCTCCTCTGCCATCCTCTTCTCATCCTCCTTCCTGGGAGAGGGAAGGGACGATGGGGTGGTGGTGGTGATGGTGGTGGTGTAGCATTGGGCCCCGTAGGTATGGAATTTGAAGGGGAGAACTCACGCATTAATTCGCAGCAGCTAGGTACGGTATTGAAACACCTTGGCTGCAATCTTTGCCCAGTGTAGGGGATCCTGGATGTCATGTTGGTAGATGGTCGTCCTGTCATCCTAGTTCGTCTGATGCCTGAGATGTTGCGAGGCGTCAGAAGATCCTGTTGGTAAAAGACGGGACATCCAAGATCCGCCCAATTACCGCTGTGCCACGAGCGGCCTCGCAGTGACATGCCTTCATACTGCAAATGGCTCGATCGAGCCCAGCCTCATCGCTGCAGGCCTTTTCGCCGCAGAAGACCATACGGCTCGAAAAGGCGCTCTGAGACCGCAAGAGCCAGATCCTATCCGGCACTGTAGAGGCCAGAAGAGAGCAACACGGAGAGGGTCAGAAGCACATGGAGGCGAGAAAGGTAGCCAGGGGCAAAAGCTGGTCGATCTCTCCTGAACCCTGAGAGTAGGTCATCAAGCGGAAAGGAAAAACGAGAAATGTGAACTGACGGTCATGCAAACGGGCTGGAATGCGCAAGCAAAACTTTGGCGTCAATTTTGACGACAAACAGTGCGTGGAGCCACAACACCACGCTCAGATAAGGTCCGCGATGTCCATTGGCATCTCCTGGAGGTACATCGAAAGTGAGAGAGCGACCAGATGAGATTGTAGTAGGCAACTGCTAGAAGGTCTTCATGGGAACAGTGAACGGAAATTAGGCCCGATTAAAGGGTCATCCAGCCTGGTCTGCTGGAATAAGCGCAAGATAAGTCGAAATTAGCGGGACCAGGCCAAATTTACAAGAACCTGATCGGACAAGAACGGAAAGCGCCGCTTTCGCCCAATGGGCTTACGCATTGGACGAAGAAGAAGAAACGAAAGCGAGGGCGACGAGGAGGCGATGACGAGGACGACGTGGAGAACGTGAGGATCGGGAGGAGGAGCATGAAGACAACGAGCAGGAAGAGAAGCACAAGGACGAGGACAAAGAGAACGAGGGCGAGCACGAGGAGGCATGCGTTGGGGTTCCATTTGGGGGTCTCTTGGGGCCTTGGGGGCCTCGTGGCTGGGCTGTCTTGAAGCCATATTGGGCATCTCGGAACGCTCTTGAGCCGTCTTCGGGCCCTCTTGGACCTCTCCGACGCCGTCTTGGAGGTATCTTGGGCACTTATGGGGCTTGCTTGAGCCGCCTTGGTGCCTCTTACGCGCTTTTGGGGCTGACTTGGGCCGTCTTGGGCCGAACATTGCCGAAACTTGGGGGTATTAGATCTGAGGCCTGGGCTGCCTACCTGCCTACCCCCCAAAAAAACCCATTGCTCTTTCTCCCGACTAACGGATCGCGACGCTTCGCGCGTTGTCTGCTGTTCGCCGCCCCTTGTTGATTTATCACGGGGGTGCCTGACTTGCAAGCCCCTTGTGCTTGGTTTTGGATTTTTTTACTACAGGCCCCCCTGGGGCTTCGGTCCATGCCGCCGGCCACCCGGAAGGCTCCGCCGCTGCGCAACCAACGTCTCCCAAGACGGCCTCGATGGCCTCCAAGACGGCCAAGATGACCCAAGATGGTCTCCAAGTTCGCCGAAGGTGGTCCAAGATGGCCTGCAAGGCGGCCCAAGAGGGTCCCAGATGCCTCCAAGTCCGCACAAGAAGCCACCCAGACGGCCCAAAACGGCCCAAGAGGTCCCCAAGAGGCCTTCAAGATGGCCCAATCGGCGCACAAAATGGCCTCCAGCAAAGCCCGAAGAGGCCAAATTCATTGGTTTTGTTTAGGTGTTTGAAGGAGTTTGGCATTTGCTTCTTCATGGCCCTCTGACAGCCCAAGACGGCCCAAGTGGCCCCCGAGATCCCCCCAAGATGGCCCCGAAAGCCTCCAAGATGACCTCATCACGGCCCGAGATCCCATGAAGACGGCCCCAAGAGGGCCCCAATACTATCCAAGAGGCCCCATGAGGCCCAAGATGGCCTCCAAGACGGCCCTGGAGCACCCCAAAGGGGCCAGAAGTCGGCTCAGAGAGGCCGCCAAGACGGATTCCGACGGCGTCAGACGGGCCAGGAACGCCCTAAGACAGGCAAAGAAGACCCCAAGAAGCCCCCAAGGCCCCTACGAGGCCCAAGGAGGCCCAAAAGATGCCTCCAAGAGGTCCTCCAAAAGCTCCCAGGAGGCCTCAAGAGGACCCCCAGAGGCCTCCAAGATGCTCCCCTCCTCATCCCTCCTCCTGCTCCTCATCCTCCTGATCTTCCCCGCCATCCTCTCCCACGTGTTTCCCGAAGAGTTTCAACAACGGCTGGGGGGGCACATTGTCCGGCCACATGGGCGCTTCCCAAAGGCAGGGGGCGACGGTGATTCGCCGTAGGCTTCTTCGATAACGCCGGATTAGGCTAGTTTCCGACCACGGGTATACCAACGCCGATACTGAATGAACCATCCCATGGATTGCATCCAAAACTAACTACTCATGACAAGCCGACACCGTACCCCTAGCGAGTTGAGGCGTGGTCAAATGCAAAAATCGGACAATCGGCGTCCGACCAAGTGCTGTCTGGTAGGCGGGTTCTGTAGTCGTGCGAAATGACCTCGCCGCACCGGGAAAGCCAGCCACAGAGTCCGCCAAGATGGCAGAACTTTGCCTCGGTGGACACCCAGCAGCCCCCCAGGAGGACCCCCAACGGCCCAAGAGGCACCAACATGGGACGCACAAGGACGTACTAAAACTATGTGCCTCTGGTGGAGACGCACGTCCGACCCGAATCTATATACTACAAAATCTTGTATTAGATCGTTCCCCGCGCGGTACGGCCCGAGAGCGCCCGACACGGATCTTATACTATGAGATTTCCGAGCCTGCGCGTCGCCCTTGCGCGGCCGACGTACGTATAGTATACGTATGGTTGGGTGGTGCCGACGCAAGGGCTTCAATGACACCAAGGGGGAAACACATAAACGATCCGAGCAAACTCAAACCCCGCGACAATTGGCAAACTGCTCAGGAGAGGCGCCGGGTCTTCCAAAGACCTCATAGTGAAAAAGTCACGACGTCGAAGTTGTAGGGCCCCGCCTCCAGGTGCCAAAACTGTGCACAGCGTGACCCGTTCGGTTTGGGCGTCTCTAGTTTCACATGCCTGGGAGATCTCATCCCAGCCTGTGCCCACCAAATGCTATCCAATCAAGGCTTCAGCCCATCATCCAACTTATTCCAAGAAACCCGTCCTGCATTGCACAGATGTGTGCACCCTGGGGACTATCCTCCTGCGGCACACATGATGCCTGAAGCATTGGCAGAAGCATGGCGACACGCATTTGATTCACATTTGGAATCGCTGTGCGTTCATGGTCGTCGCCAGATAAATAGGTGTTGAGAAAAACAACTGCACTTCAGCGTGCCAACGGCGATTATGTAATGCATGCTTGGCCGCAGGCGGCGACGATCCTCGATCTGAGTGTGGTAGAACCGCTCGATATCCTTCATCGTGCGGACGTCATTGTTCGTCACAAAGTTGATGGCGACACCCTTTGAGTTTGACATTTGAACCACATACGTCCTTCCTTCCCAAACCGCACCGTTCCACTTGTGCTCACCCCACCTCTAGATTAGTACTGGACGGGAATGCGGAAAAATGACAAGGAAACAAACATCACAGACGGCATCGAGAGGACTTGACTGGTTGCTACCGAATATCTTGGAAACGTAAGCCGCGCTGTAGGACAATGCGTCGTACAGGTCGATGCCAACAACTGAAGCGAGCTGACAGATTATGCAGGAGCAATAATGGCGTAATGTTGCAGAAGATCGCGGTGAATGGTGTAGAACGCAGCTTGCAACGTGCGACGCATGGAGAATATCGCGAGTCGCGATGACGTTTCCCAATCATCCAGTGGCGTTGGGTCCTCGTTTTGAAGAGACAGCGCCCCGCGTGCCTCACTCCTTATTCCTCCCCTCTCCTCCTCCCCCTCCTCCCTCCTCTCTCCTCCCTAGAGCCCAAAGCAGCATTTCGTGGCCCCATAGGGAGCTCCACCGAAGGCCCCAGTGGCAGGGTTCGCATGGCGGCCCCGCCCCATCTCGGCGCACCCCTCACCCGTTTCGTGGCCCCATAGGGAGCTCCACCGAAGGCCCCAGTGGCAGGGTTCGCATGGCGGCCCCGCCCCATTTCGACACACCCTTCACACGATTCGTGGCGCCACAGGGAGCTCCACCGAAGGCCCCAGTGGCAGGGTTTGCAAGGCGGCCCCGCCCCATGTTGGCACACCCCTCACACGTTTTGTGGCCCCATAGGGAGCTCCACCGAAGGCCCCAGTGGCAGGGTTCGCATGGCGGCCCCGCCTCATTTCGGCACATCCCTCACACGCTTCGTGGCTCCATAGGGAGCTCCACCACAGGCCCCAGTGGCAGGGTTCGCATGGCGGCCCCGCCCCGTTTCGGCACCCCTCAGACGCTTCGTGGCTCCATAGGGAGCTCCACTGCAGGCGCAGTGGCAGGGTTCGCATGGCGGCCCCGCACCATTTCGACACCCCTCAGACGCTTCGTGGCCCCATATGGAGCTCCACCGAAAGCTGAATGCATAATGCGGTACCCCCAATTGCAGATGGTTGGGCCCTTCGCAAGGATACTTTTTTCCGCGTGTTGTAGTTTGTTCGCGCAGGGCAGCAATGTCTCCAATTTACACGTCAGCCCGAACCTGACTTCTCTGCATATAGACGAGTCCGAGCGAATTCCACTGACAGAGACCATCACCGACCGTACACAGAACATTCGAGGTTCTAGAAAGCCTGGGAAAGGGCAGCTAGGGTAAGCGAAGGCAAACGCTTCGACCAGAGCTGGAATGGCATGGCATGGGCAAGCCGAAGCGAGCGCTTAATACAAAAAACTAACGCACGCCAAAGCAAATCGTGAGACACGATGGACATGCAAATCTGACTACGATAATGCAGGCGAAGGCAGCATAGGGAAGCAATCGTGTGCACCATGACAGTGGGCGCTGGAGACCAAAATAAGCCACAACACATCGGCGACAGGAGGAAACGAATGGACCCCCACTGGTCAGGATCCCAGGCCAGTATGGCGCGCAGGGGTCTCCCTCCCGCTCCCGCTGCCATTCCATCGCCTCTGGCGCGACCCTCGCGCCCGGGCCTTTGTAAACACGCGCTGGTGAGCTTGTGGCACGGCCACTCCGGCACGCCCACCGCGCATCGCCACCCTCCCGGGCCAGGCTCGAAGTTAGGAGCACGTCCGCAAGGCCAGCCTGGGGGAGCGGCGCGCTCCTGCGACGACGGCGCGGGCTCCTGGCTTCTGTAGAGGCGGTCGAGCCAGAGGGTGCTCCAACTTGGATGCCCGCGCAGATTCCTTCACACCCAGGCTCGCCCACACTCAGACTCGCTCACACTCAGATCGCTCACACTCGAAATACCCCCACACTCGTATATACTCACTCGAACCCCTACTCACTCATGCCCAACCCTCTCACTCTCAGACTCGCCAAACGCACGTAGCACGTATGTTCTGGGGCGTCCCACAGGGGATTCACCAGGGTGTGCTACACGGGCCCGTTCGCGCCAAGATTTTAGGGATGCCTCTGGCGACCCGTTCGTTTTGGCGCCTTGGGCTCCTCTCCTTTGAGGGTCTCATGATCACTGCGATGCAGCAGGCTTTTGCCACATGGGCCACCCAGGAGGCAGTCTCCTGGGGTGTTGCAAGGGCCAGTTCGCGCCCAAATTCTGGTTACGTCTTTGACGGTACGCTCATTTTGGCGCCTCGGGTCATCCTATCTTGAGGGCCTTATGATCACCGCGATGGAGAAAGTCTGACACTCGGGCATCCCAAGGTGAGCCGCCAGGTGGTGTAACACAAACCAACTCGCGCCCAGACTGCGGGAATTTCCCTGGCGGAACGCTCTTTTTGGCGCCTGTGATCCTTCTCTCGGGGGCCTCAAGATCGCCGCGAAGTAGCAGGGCCTGCCGAAGGCGCTAGTTGGGACCTCCAAGGCAGGCCACACGCACTCATGTTCAGACTCAGCCACGCTCATATCCATTCACACTCTGACAACTCATACTTAGACCGCTGGCACTGGCGACTCACCTTTTCAGAGGACCATGACCACTGCAATGTGAGAGGCATTGCAATTGGCCTTCTAAGGGGGGAGCCTCCAGGCGAAATGACGCGGGGCCCTTCGCGCCCAGATCGCGTGGACCCCTCAGGCGCCCAATTCAAGGATGCTGACACGAATGTCCGACCTTCCTCATACTTCGATCCAATCCCAATCACGACTACACGCACATTGGAACATTCACGCACCGTGCCGTTCAAATTTAGCCACACGTAGTCAGGCCTACTCGCACGCGTACCCTTTCACATCCACATGCTCGCAGGAAGACTCGCTCATATCCATCCACTCGCGTTATGTCTTCCTTACACTCGGAGTGACCTCTACTGAGACACGCGAAAATGAGCGTGCTTTGAATTTGATGCGCAGATGGTGTCCTCGTCGAAGAACTATCAGAAGGCCACGGGAGACTGAAGACACTGACGACTGGAGACTGCGTCCGTGTCGTCGGGGGGAGCGGCGGCGGCAGCGGGTCCCACACGAGGGGCTACGCGGTGGCATGGTAGTGACCGCGTTGCTCTTGGAATTCGTGGGTTTGCCTTTCTCTTAGAGTTCGCGCTGCCGTCGAGCGGTTTTCATAAGCACTCCGCCTTATTATAAGGCCGCCTCCCTCCTCGCCCCACCTCAGCCAGCAAGCGCCCAGAGAACTCTCACGAGGCTTCAAAACGCACGCCAAGACGCCCACAATTCCACACTTCATCTGGGGGTCGGCGCAATGGCGTCAGCCTCTTGAATAAGCCCTTTGCCTTGCTAGAAGGCCGCCCCCCCTGGGCCCCACCACTCTTCTGCGCGCCGCCGAGACAGTCAAGTTTGCGCCTTTGCGCCCGCGATGGCGCCGAGCCGAGGCGGCGCGAGGCCTGCCGCAGGTCCCCCGTCCCCACCCCCCACGGCGCTGCCCCCGGACCTCCACCGCGCTGGCAAATCACATCGAACGTGCTGGTCGCTGCTGCCGTTGGCGGCGCGCACAAGAGGGCAGGTGGAGGAGGGACGGCTCCTTAGAAGCGGGGGTGCTTCTAAGAAGCCTTCCCCTTTGTCTCGGAGGCCACCCTTGCGGAGATCAGGGCGAAGTTCCGTGCAATTGGGGTGCGTGCCCGCATGGCGAGGATGGCGCAGAATCAGCTGCAACCGCCCCCTTTGCAATCGCTGCAGCAGCAGACGAGGCTGGCAAGGGAGAAGCAGGTGGCACAGCAGGAATGCGTGCCGGCCAAGGCGATGCCACCCCTGAAGCTGTCGGAGCAGCAGCAGGTGGCTCGGCGGGCCGGCACGTCGGCACAGAAGGGGCCATCGGCGGAGCAGCTCCTCCTGCACCGCAGGCTGGATGTCATCCGCATGCGGCAGGAGGAGATAGCTCAAGCATTGGGGCTGGCTCCAGTGCGCTCGGCCTCACCGACCCCGCCGCCGCCTCCGAGTTTGCCTCCCTGGAGGCAGGCAGTGGCGGAAACGGCGCCGACGCCGTCGGCGGAGACCCTCCAGAAAAGGCGCTGGCGCCAGAGCAGGGCGTGGAAGAAGGAGCAGAAGGCGCTGGTGCAGACGGCGGCTCCGCCCCCACCCTGGAGTGCCTGAGCGTCGCAATGGACGAGCATAAGGTCTCCACGGACGACGAAGCGGGCCCGCCTTCCGTGCTGGCGGCTGCCAAGGCGGCGCGCAACCACGAGAAGCGGTGGAGGAAGAAGGAACGCAAGGAGATCGTGCTGCAGCGGGACCTCTACAGGCCTGGTTGGCACCACGTGAAGGAGGCGGAGCGCCCAGAGGCGTGGCCTCCTTTGGGTTCAGGAGCAGCTCGAGCTGCGCCTGCGGGATGACCTCGCGGGAGCAGTCGTCGACGACGAACTGCAGGGGGCCTGGGCAGGGATGCTAGCTCCAGTTCCTGATTGAGGCCTCTGCTAAGGTCGATTTTCGCTGCGCTTCAGGTGAGCTGCCGCTGCCAGGCGGCAGTGTACTGAGGCTCGGTCGCGGGGGCCCTCGCATTTCGGCGCTTTCAGGGTCCTGGCTTGCCGCTGCAGTTCTGTCTTCTCTGCCCACAGCGGCGGTGATGGGACGTTTGCGGGGCAGGCCCGCATGCATGCTCTCTCTCTCTCTCTCTATCTCTCTATTTCTTTCTTTCTTTCTTTCTCTCTCTCTCTCTCTTCTTGAATTACTGTTGCCTTGAGCTTATTTCGGTATAAAAAGAAGCCTTCCCCGCTCCCCCTGCCCAGCTCTGCGCGTCGCTGCTGAAGCCGCGTCTCGGCCCCCGAACCGTCCAGAGCGATCCAGGGCGAGCAACCACCATTCGGGCGTTGCCAGCCGTGTCCCCAGGATTCCCAGGGAGGCTCCCAAGGCCTCCCGGAGCACCCCTCACGAGACCCCAGAAGGCCTCAGGGACTCCAAAATGCACCGAAAATCTGTTGAGACTTCGGAGTCAGGGACACCTTCG